TATATATATATATATTATTTATTACTATATATATATATATAATATAGTATATATATATATAATATATATATATATATATATATATATATGTTTGTTTGTGTGCTTATTTGTATATATATATATTTTTTATTTATATGTATCTACTATTGAACGTCACAAACATTGCATAAGATTTCATTGTGTTCTGATTGTCCCACACTTACGATTAATTGTCCTACTGTCATTGGGCGTCTCATCATGCATCATAGCGTACTTGTGCTTCATGCCTGTACATCTTTGTATCCCAAAACTACCCACGTGACCCATCACAACGAACTCCATCCATCGCACCTCACCTCTTCATCACACTCTTTCCAGCTCACAGACTCAGGCATGCAAGATGCTCTAAAGGCGGGGCTGCTACTAAAAGACATTTCGTTTGCGTGCGCGTTTACGTCTATATTGTATCGGGCACAAGTCACCCTCGAACGCGCATTGACCTCCGCCGGTCAGTTGGGTATACCCGTGGTTTGCGAAGCTGCCCTGAACGAGAGGGATTACGGAGACTTGAACGGAATGGATAGGGCGGAAGCGGTGAAGAAATTCGGACAGGCCAAGGTATGCACCTGTTATTTGTTAGTATGGTGCACCTGTTATTTGTTATTATGGTGCACCTGTTATTTGTTATTATGGTGCACCTGTTATTTGTTATTATGGTGCACCTGTTATTTGTTATTATGGTGCATCTACTATTTATTATTATGGTGCACCTGTTATTTGTTAGTATGGTGCTCCTGTTATTTGTTGTTATGGTGCACTTGTTATTTGTTATTATGATGCGCCTGTTATTTGTTATTATGGTGCACCTGTTATTTGTAATTATGGTGCACCTGTTAATTGTTAGTATGGTGCACCTGTTATTTGTTATTATGGTGCACCTGTTATTTGTTAGTATGGTGCACCTGTTATTTGTTATTATGGTGCACCTGTTATTTGTTAGTATGGTGCACCTGCTATTTGTTTTTATGGTGCACCTGTTATTTGTTATTATGGGACTGCGTTCAACATTGCACCCGTTGCAGTGTTTGGGTCGTATGTTCACTGAACTCAGAGATGAATCGAATGGAACCAGAGCGTAGGTGACATCCGCGAACATCGCCCGATAAGGCTCGTTGCTGTACTGTGTTGGTTGCTGCCATCCATCAACTCCTCAACCCCAAATCCCATACACCGCAAAACCATAAAACCCTAAAACCCTGAAACTCTACACCACAAAATCCTAAAACCCTAAAACCCTGTAGCTCTAAAGCCATGGCCCTCTCAAAGATAAATATTCTCGTCCCTTGAGACTTAT